CATGAAAAGATGACCGTCGGGGATGATGATCAGCTCGTCGTGGATCAGCTGGTCCAGTACTGGGGAAACTAGTCTATAGAAGAGCATATCAAGAGGCTCCATGTCATCGTCTTCTTCGTCGGGAATACATCTGTCCCATCTGTCAACCTTTTGAAAAACGTTGTGAGCAGTTTCACTCAGATGCGAAGAGTTTGTCGAGGGTGCACACTCTAGGTCTTCATGCTCTAGTATGTTCATCGATCTGTCTTCGCATTTCATTCCTTTGCCTTCTCTAACATTCAGCTGCTKGAAACAGTTGTYAACGAGATATTGAAAATATGATCCAGCTTCAGCATTTTTTCTCTCATCTTCAGATAGKMTCGACATTATTGTTGCCAAAGCTTCGCGGTTGTCTAATTCATCGTAAAAGAAGGTAGATGGATTTCGGGATGATATGACCCAGCTATGATAAGTTACCTTGTTAAAATGAAGATTGTAAAAAAGAATGCAGCCTTCACGATCAGAGCAAAGTGTCTTGACATCTGCAAGTTCCAGTGCTTTTGATTCTGTTTTCTCGGTTGTCTTGTATTTAAGGGACAAGAGATCTCTCAAAGCACGTGCTCGGCCATGTTCACAAACTAAGAGAGCTTCTTCGTTTTGTCCAGTTTTAATTTGAACTTGGCTGAGCATCTTGTAGGCTCTGATAAATGTATCGACAATTGAGACCTTGAATTGGTCATTGTCTTTTAAATCATCAAATAAGTTCTCGTAGCATTGTATGCTCTTCTGTAGGTGTTCTTTTGATTTGCTAAGGTCTTTAATGCTCGATTCTTCCTCATATGCARCACCTGAAATAGAAAGACGATTACTTAAGGATAAGACTAATTAGCTTTAACAATAACCTTATTACTATATTATAGAAATAATTATAGACAATTTATCATACTGATATATAGCAGCTGAAATAGAAAGACGCCATGTCTTTAGAATTAGACTTACTAACCTTAACGTTAACTTTATCAATTAAAAAAAGATTTTAGTTAGAAGTAGTTTTGATACTTAAATGATAATTCAAACGTGTCTTGCAVAAAKAATTMAAACGCGTCTTGTCTTTTCAGAGCTTAATGACGTCATATCGCTATATCAGACATCTAATTGACAAATCGGTGTGTCCAAATCGAATTTGTGTAATTATAAGGTCTTTTATCTGGTACAAGTCTATACTGGCAACGTCAATAAAATATTATGTAATTATTGACTGAGTGGGAG